GAAGACGCACGCCTCGGGCGGTGCGGAGGAGCGGTGCCAGGGAAGGAAGGAGAAGGAGAGGCACTAGGGGAGACATGGACGGAAGGCCGTGGGGAGGGGACGGGCGTCGGGGGTGGGGTTGGAGGAAGGGCTTCGAGGAGCGAAGATCAGGGGCAGTGGTGCGGCGAGGTGCATTTCGGCAGAACGGTCATCGGTGCTGGTGGTGCATGAGCATCGGGGAGGAGGGATTGCGGAGGAGCGCGAGGAGGATGAGGATCGTTGCTAGTGGAATCCGTGATGGGGGCCTTGGCAAGCGCTCTGAACTGGCCGCGTCAACGTCCAAGCCGTCCAACTGCTGCGTGAGTAATTGGTGCTAGCAGTGCTAATTCTCATGAGAGGAAGGGAAACGAACTTGACAGCTGGATGTTTGAATGTACAGGGACGTAGGGGCATGGATGGATGAGGGAAGAGAGCGAGATAAAGAGAGCGAGAGAGAGAGGGAGGGAGGATGAATGATGATACCGATGACGATAAATATGGCGACGTTGACGGCGATGCTGGTGATTATCATCACGAGTTCGATGACATTGATGGTCAGGCTGTTGCTCACGCTGCTGCTATTGCTGGTGATCGTGCAGATGCTCATGCTTGCGGTCATGTTGATGTTTATCCTGATGGTCATGCTACTGCTTCTGCTGTTGCTGCTGACGATGATGATGACGACGAGTATGATGATAATAATAATGATGGTGATGATGATGCTGATGATTATGATGGATGATGATGTTGATGATGATGATGTTGTTGCTTCTGATGATCATTATGATGGTGGTGATGGTGATGGTGTTGTCGACGATGATGATGATGATGATGATTGTGATGATGATGATGATGATGATGATGATGATGATGATGATGATGCTGATGCTGATGCTGATGATTGATGATGATGTTGATGATGCTGTTGCTTATGATAATTCTGGTGGTGGTGATGGTGATGGTGTTGTTGATGATGATTATGGTGACGGCGATGGTGATGGTAATGATGGTGGTGATGCAGATGATGAGGATGATGATTAGGATGCTGATGATGAGGAGGAGGAGGAGGATAATGATGAGGATGAGGATGAGGATGCTGCTGATGATGACACTGACACTGTTGACGGATGGTACAGTGCCCGACGCCTTACCGCTGGGATGACTGAATGTACGCAGGATGACTACCGAGGTCTCCCGAACAGGCTCGTCGGTAGAACAGCATCGGGGATTCGGGCCCTTGTGCCGTCTGGGCAGCCGCGCTACGATGCTCTGTTGACGACGCGACGCAATGAGGAGGGGCGGCACTCCTCGTCGGGCTAGCGCGTTGGAGGACTCCCACACGAGGTACCCCATCGACGTCACGACGAACTCCGTGCTCCGTGGCGAGTCCGGCAGGCCCTTATTCATGCTCGGGCAGCTCCAGTGACGATCGAAACGCTCAGATAGCTCCAGACATGCTCAGGCAGCTCCAGGCAGGCCCTGTGCCATTTTAACAAGCCTGGGAATATTCTCGAGGCGTTCCAGAGGACTCCAGGACGGTCGCGGCAACCCTGCATCCTCAAATTCTGCCTGCTTTGAGAGGCTCCCGAGACATTCGTACCCGTGTGTTCCTACGGTTCTGTTTTGACATATTTACGTCAGGGGTTGTTGCCACGGATACTCTCCGGGCACCTTGAACTTTAGTGTTTTTCATTGGCTTTTGCCGGATGGCAGTCAAAATTGCGTCGAGCTGGCGTGTATCCACTCCGCCTTGCTACCCAGAGCATTGTGGGGAGCATTCATTGAACGCCAGCATCGTGTTTCAGCATTGCGTGGCAGGCGATCCTCGTGTCCAAATGGTCCCACACGCAGTCGGCGCTGCACATTTAGATTATCACATAGCCTGCGGCGCAGACGGGTCAGACATTGAGCCCATTTGGGATCTGCATGTACGGGGACCTGCATGCCAGACGCTCAGACATCCTTTATTGGCGTTTGCTAGCATCCCTGGGCGTTTGCTGAACGGCCCTGCCCTGTCCGATTCCTTCCTTGGGTGCGCTCACTCAATTGCTTCGCATGGGATGCTCCTTATGAGGGTGTTTCTTCTGGCCTCAATGTAGGGTGTTTCTTCTGCCCTCAATTTTAGGAAGGCGATGCAATGCCAGCATAATTTAGGATGTTTCTTATGAGGGTGTTTCTTCTGCCCTCAGTTTTAGGCGACGGAAGGCCAGCAGAAGTAACAAACAGCGACGGCTGCGCTTGCGGAAGCCGGCGGCAGGTCGGTGGAAGGTGGCGGAAGCAACAGTGACACGTCAAGATGCGTGGGTCCAGGATTTCCACCTCCTCCTCCTCCTCCCTCCTCCCTCCTCCTCCTCCGGTCTTCCGCTTCAAGCCGACGTAGTGTTTTTACGCATGTCTTCTGCACTTGAGAGCTACTGGAGATGCAATTGCGGGTCGCACGGGACCTGCACAGGATGTATCGGGGACGAGACGAGCAGGTAGCATCTCGATTGTTTTTTTCTTGTTCGGTTCTGGCCGCGTTCTTCCCCAACCAGGGCTTGCACCCATGTATTCTTACCTACGTTTTGAGGATGGCTCTTCGGGCCGCAGCCAGGCCTTCCTGTTGGCTGCAGTCGGCCATTCCCAGCCAGTGCTCCACGATCACTGCGGTACCGCCACCACTACCCCTACCTCGTTTTCGCCCTGTTGGGTCTCCTTGGAGGCCCTCGTCGCCGGCCGGAGTCGCCCCGAAATTTTTGGTCAGAACGCACCCCCGGGAGAGGCCCAGGGAGTGCGCTGTGGCATCGGTATCTTCTGGTCTCCCAAGCCTTGATATCTTATGGTGCCCGTCTTGGCGGCGCGCACAAGGGGGAGGGGGGAGGGGGGAGGGCTTCTTAGAAGGAGGCTGCTTCTTAGAAGGCGCCGGCCTCACATCTATAGAGAAGGCCCGCGCCTTCTAAGAAGCAGGGGTGCTTCTAAGAAGCCCCCCCCCCTCCCCCCACCCCCCTCTGCGCGTGGCCAACCGTCCTCGTGCACTGGTGCCCCATGGTTTCCCTGGTCGGGGGGCTCTGGCTGGTGCGGTGCCCAGCGGCTCCCGGCAGGCCGCTGCCGGCCGTCCCTGGTCGGTTCCCTGTGGCCGGTGCCCTGCGGAGTGCGCCTACATTTATCTAGGCCTCCTGGATGGGGTCGGAGCAGATGGGGTCGGACGATCGCGCCGCGTCGCTGATGCATCGCCGATGCAGCTCGATGGAGCCCGAGTTCCTTCACGTCGACGTCGCCGATGCATCGCCCACGTCGACGCCGCATCGCCGGTGCATCGCCGATGCATCGCCGATACATCGCCGATGTATCGCTGATGCATCGGCGATGCGGCGCGGTCCTCCGACCCCATCTACTCCGACCCCATTTAGGAGCCCTCTAATTTAGGAGGTTTCGCGTGGCTCGTGAGGAGCTGGCCCTCTTGGGCGCAATCGGCCGTTCCAGCTCTGTGCCGTGGGAATGGTGCCCTGTGGTGCTCTGTCTGGGGGTCCCTTGTGGGCTGCAGCCGGTATTTGCAGCAATCGATCCTGGGGGCCTGAGCCAGCCCTTAGGGCCCCCCAGACGGCCAAGAGACACCCAACAGGGCCCCCAGACAAGCCGATGGGGCCATATGAGCCATGTTGGAGGCCTGTGGGCGTTCCGAGAAGCCACGCAGGGAGCTCGCGAAAGCACCCAGAAACAGCCAAACACAAAAGACCCGTAAGACTGACGACACTTTCAACATGATTCCAACCCAGGACAATCAAGGACTCGAGAGGGCTCCACAACATGCCGTGGCCACAGCGGTCTCGTTGGGTCCCTGAGGTCCTTCATTTCGCCCCCTGCACAACTGCAACCTCTGGACCTACGACAAGTGTTCTGGATCTCTTTGTGCCAGCATCGTTTTACGTGGACTCTTGCGTTTCATATTCAATTGCTGCACCTCGGTGCCCAGTGTGCTACTTCCTCTCCCGTGCTGTGTATATCATCCGCCCTTTCCATGTTCTCTCCCATATGTTCCCTCCCAGCTCCTATCTTCCGCCTCACTTGGCTTACCTTCGCCGCGTGTGTTGTTGTGTCTCTTTATGCTCCCTCTCTCCCCTCCACCTTGCTTGCATCCGTGCATCCCCCTCACTCTCTCCCAGCTTCTCTCTGCTGTTCATTCCCCATCACCCCCCTCCTGGCTTCAGGTCACCGTCTCCGAGCCACTTGAGCGGGTCTCTAGGCCTCACTGCTTGCCGAAGCGGGATCCAATGTACAGGGGCTGGGCAGTGAAGGAATTTGAGCAGCGTTCAGGGACGGACTAGGAGGAACCATGATGAGGGAGAGGACCGCGAGGAAGGAGGGATGGTGAGCGAGATGGGGAGCGATAGGCGGATGCTGCAATATGGTTTCGTGTCCTCCACACGCAATGTATACGCAGCAGCTCAAGAGCCGAACTGTTCAGCCAGATTGTTAGCCACGGTGCGCTCAAAACTGCGACGACCCGGAGATTGTGTACATTTGAGCGACGCGAAAAAGTTGGAGTCATCTGCGCCGACATTGGTGCGGAAGCTGCCCGCGTTAGATCGCGCGTGAGCGCCTTCGTCTCCAAAGTACCGTGCCGCGCTGGCGGCCCGCGTAAGCTGCGGCGTAATGCCGCTACTACGCCGTATTGCGTCAGACCAGTTAATTTCTTCTCGCATATGTCTCCACACTTCACTTGCTCTCGTCTTCTCCTCTTCCTTCGTTCCCCGTCTTTCTTCTAGGTTGTCATTCGCCTCAGTCAACCACGCCGCTGTCTGCGCAACCTGTATCTCCTAGTCCTACCTCGCCGTGTTCCCTCCTCGGACTGTCCGCCCGCCCGCCTGCCGACATGCCCAAGACCTCTCTTTCACTTTGCCCTGCCTTCTCCCTCTCCTCTCCCTCCCTCTTCTCTCCCTCTCCTCTCCCTCCCTCGTGTGCTTGCACCCGGGGCATCCATACTCGCCTGACCGCGTTTCCCCGCAAGTCTGCAGAGTTGTGAGCGCGCATCGACTGTTATGCCACCGTTGCACCACCACCACCACCCTCCCCACCGCCGCCGCCGCCCAGGGCGACGAGCCGTGAGCAGCACCACGTCCCCCACCATGGCCTCGTCGGAGGCCGCCTCGCTGCTGGCCTCGCTGCGCGAGGAGCGGCGGGCGCGGGAGGCGCTGGAGCTCCAGGCGGGCACTCGGGGGGGGGGCGCGCCGTCGGGAGGCCGTGCCGGGAGCGGTGCTCAGCGCCTGCTTCCGGTAGGGCCGCACGTCGACGGGTCTGGACCGACTCCAGGATCGGGGGCGGGAAAGAGGGGGGTGATGACTAGGGGGGGGGGATATCCTGGCGGGGGGCAGGGTATTTCCCCAGATTTCCTGGCGCCTCTTCTTGTTTCATTGCGTCCCCGGCCCCCCCGCGGGGCCGCGCACATGCCGCCTGTCATGATTTACACCCCCCGCCTCTTGGACACCCCCCTCTTGGCCGCTCCCGAGGTAGGGCCGCACGTCGACGGGTCTGGCCCGACTCCAGAAGTGCGGCGTCCTTGGATGCTCGCCGGCTCTACCGAAAGGGGGCGGGGGCGGCAGCACTCGGCGGGGATAGCCCTGACCTCGGATCCGCCGTATTGTCTGAGCAAGTCCGGAACCAGGGCGGGCATTCCCGCCCTGCTTGTCAGGCTCCTTCGATGCCGATCTCCGTCCTGCTTTTTCGTCCCCCTTTCCGCCACGCCTTTGCGGAGAGACCCGCCCTGCTCCCTACTCTCCGGAGGCGGAGATCTCCGCCCCACTGTCTCGCGTCCTCTGGGTGCGCGTGTCCGACACAGCTGCTCCGTCGGAAGATCTGCCAAGCCACGGCGGGCCCGAAGTCAGGGCAGGCTCCGGGAGGACAGGCTCCATGGGGGGGAAGCCTCCGCCGCCACTGGTCGAGGCCTCAGAGGTTCCCCGGCCTCCGCGCGGGTGCCGGGCGGCTTTCCAGCCTCGGGGCGCCGTCCCTCCGCTGCGCCTCCTCGCCGAGGGCGTGGGGCGCCCGGGCCGTCCCGCACGGCCGCGGGAGAGCCGAGCAGTGACCCGAAGATTCGCGGACGGATCCTCGACCCCCAGTGTCCGGCGATCGCAGACGTGGATCCAGGGGGCGTGTAGGAGCAGCGGGCCCCGTTTCCATGGGCAGTGGCCGATGTCCCCCTCCGGGCGAGGCGGCACCGGCCGCCTTTTGGGGAGGACGCCTCCCCAAGGCGCCCATGGATCTGGCGACCGCGCGCCAAATCCACGGATCGCTGATCCATGTTGGCGCGCCCCCGACACTGGCCCGTTGATCGCCGGTAGGGGGCCCGCTGCCCCACCCCGCCCCGGAGCGTGCGGGCTCGCTGGCGGTGGCCTATGCCGCCGACCAATCGGCGACGGTATCGCCGAGGCCAAGCCGATGTGTTTCCCCCGTGGGCCGGTGCCTCCCTGGGCTGCAGCCCCTCCTCGAGCGGACGGGGGGCGGGCAAGGAGAGGGTCGGCGGCGTCCAGACACAGCTCGTTGCATCCTGCCATGGGCGCGCTGGGCATTCATGCACGGCCACATGAATTATTTTCGGCGGCGAGCGAGGGGGGAGGTGAGAGGGAGCGGGCCTTCTCAGAAGGCTCGGAAGTCCCCTGGCCTTCCGAGAAGTTTTCGAATCCTCCCCCGAAGACGCAGAAAGCCTCTCGGAAGGCGCGAGGGCTTCTGAGAAGCCCCGCCGCATTCTGAGAAGGCATTCTCCTTCTCGCTTCCCTCCCTCGCTCGCCGCCGATGTCTCCTTCGCCGGCAATGCGCTGTGACATTCTCTGTGCTGAGGTCATGCGGAGCCAATCCGATGCTACTTCTTTGGAGCTGACCGAAGCCTGCTGCCCTGGTCCCCCTCCTCTCCTCGAGGGCATTGCGGGGGACCCCATCGCAGGAGGGCCCGAGCACCTGCCGGTGTCGTGCCGCGGAGCAGGCGTCGAAGTGTTGCTCGGGGCGCTGTCTCGACCGACGAGGCCGCGGCCTCGTCGTGCTGCTCCGCAGCTCGCGGCGAGGCCGCCCGAGGGTTGCCTTCTGCTAGCCATGGCGCTCTCCTTGCCTCGCCGCCTTCGGCGCACTGCCCCGGGCACCGAGGCCCCTCGTCGGGGGCAGTCGACCGTGAGGCGACGTCTCGGGCATGCCCGCCGGGGGCATCTCACCCGACAGGCGGCCTGGCCGTGCGGGGCTCCGCTCGGCGCGCCGAGCGCGCGCAGGCAGCGTGCGCCCGCGCCTCGCTTCGCGGCACCCTGTGCGGAGGGTCCGTGCCCCGGTGCGGTCGGCCTTCGCACGTGGACGCAGCTCGTAGCTGCGAGCCCCCAGAGCGCCAGACTCGTCGACCTCCCCCACTGCTTGCCGAGCACGCTCGGGGGTCGCCGTGCGTCGGCCGCCTTTCCCGCTCCCGGGTCACCTTTTCAACATGCCTTTCCTTGGCTTTTTTGCCCTTGCGCTCGAACGTGCAAGCCTGCGCTACGCACAAATCCCCCACATCGCCCAAACTGTGGGCCGAAGCTGTCAATGGAGCCGGGCGCCCTTGCAGAACCCCTGGGTTCTTTATCATTGCGTCAGGCGGGGGAGTTTTTTTGCCGACACACTTTCGGCGCAGATTCGATCATGGCCTCCGGTTGGGTCGCGCACCCGCGCTCCTGATTCGCCTCACTGCGTGCAGGGGGCTCCGAGATGCACAGTTGTTCCTCTAAAGTCTGTCATGCGACAGGCTCGGAAGGTTTTGATTCAACGCTGCCACACGCGCCCATGCCGACTCACAGCGCGTTGGGAATGTTGCGCCCATTCCGCCCGTCGTTTTGTAGCGCAGTTGTGCTATACGTGGACCACGAGGGGTCTTCATTGTGCACACTGCCACCACGTCGGTTTTTCACACACCCACCACGATCTGTGCTCATCATCCATTCAGTGTCGAAGAAAACGTGGCCCCGGCGAATTGCGATGATATCTCATGTGCAATATCACAGTTCGAACCAGCACCACACATTGCGAGGACGTCTCAAGCGGAACGGGGCCGAAACCATGCCAAACAAGGGCCACACCAGGCCAATTGCGAGGACGTGTCAAGCGGAGTCTGGCCCACATCAAGCCAAGCCAGCCCGAGTCCGCCTCGATCGAAACCCTCGCGCTCGCTCTCTGCATCGCGTGCATCCATTCACCCCCTGACCTCGGTATCGTCCCGCACGTCATGACACGTGAAACCAGGATTCCCAATTATAATAACTTCAAATGGGCAGCAGCACACTGATTATCCACCAAGACTTGCGAACTAACAGACTAATTAATTAGTTGAGTTGGACGGGCGGGAATCCATGATGAATGGAAGGAGTGGGGTGAGCAGGATAATCGGCATGGGCGGAATTCGTGGAATGAGTTTGCGAGTGGGGTGAAAGGGTATGTTCCGAGTGCTAAATGGAATGGCCAACGAGCTGCAACATTGGAGCGTGGCGCGATGGGACGATTGGGTGGAACGAGTGCGTATACTTGCTCTGTTCCAGCACGCGGATTGACCGAGCGTAACGAGCAGATGGAGGGACTGTGCCAGCAGCGAGCAGGTTCATGACTGTGTGAAGCGGCACGTGAACCAGGCTGTCGAGGCGTGGTCATTCGCTCTGGAGCAGCAGGATCGAACTCGCGGGGCCGTGGCTGGGATGCCGTCCGGCTGGGCGCGCAGTGTGCGAGGTGAAGAAGTTGGTCGAGAACAACGGCCACTACAACCAGATCTTGGCCTCCAAGGACGGGGCCCTGGAGCCTCGGGAAAGGGGGCTGGGCGCGGGCTGGATGGGGAGCGAGGTGGGCGGGGCGACGGGGCGACGGGGTCGTTGACCACACTGCTGGGACCCTGCTCTCCTCCTCCTCGTCCTCCTCCTCCTCCATCTTCTCCTCCTCCTCCATCTCCTCCTCCTCCTCCTCCTCCTCCTCCTCCTCCTCCTCATCCTGTCGCGCGTCGTCGTCGCCGACGTCGCCGTCTTAGGGACAGGGGGTCTTGGAAGGGGGGAAAGGGGCGGTGCGAGGAGGAAGAGGGGAAGAGGGCAGCAGGAGGCAGTGCAGCAAGAAAGCGCAAACATGTATTGAGGCGCGTGGATCAGCGACTCGTCCCGCTTCCATGCCAAGATCGGCGCGCTCCGCCGCCAAATCCCACGGCGTTGGTGCCATGCGGCGAGGGGTTACGTCCGCGCTGGCGTTCCCCAATCCGTGGATCTGGCGCCCACGCGCTAGATCCACAGATCCCTGATTCATGTCAGCGTGCGCCCGAGCTCAGGTAAACGGCAGGCGTCTTAGAGCCAGTCTTCATTTGAGAGCAATCGGATCGTTGCCTCGAGCGCTCCATTCCCCCCAGGAGGCCGATGCGCTCAAGGAGAACGACACCCTGCGCCGCTCCGTCGAGGAGACTTCCCCTGGGGATGGGGCGATGGGGGCAGGCCCAGGGCAGGGATGTTGCCCCCTGCATAGCCCCTGCTTTGGCAATGGCGGGCAAGTTGGGCCGCCTTCGAAATGCTGGCAGGGACGGCGCATCCTGAGTCGGCAGAGATGGCGCTTCTGTTGAGGTGGGGGTGGCGCCTCTTGAGCTTGCAGGGGCGGCGCCTCCTGCTCAGGCCCGCTTCCCTCCGCTTGGGCCGCGCGCATGATGCGACTAGCCATGGCGCCGAAGTACGGGCCAGGTTGGGCTCGGGAGGGGCTCTGGCCTCTGGGCCGTTCCTCAGGTCCAGGCCGTGGGACCTCTTCGTAGCCGAGGCTCGCCGGGGCCAAGAAGAGCTCGACGGCTGCGGTCGGGCCATCACCCTGTTGTGCGTCCCAGGGTAGACAGCACTTGGCCATTGCATTGGCATCAGTGTGCTTTGGTCGGGGTGCATATAGTTGATGCGCAGCGCATCAGGAACTGTCAAGCTGCCAAAGCGCGAACACTTGCTACGGTGCATCACTCTCAAACTACATCGCCAGGCTGCTAGGTTGCTCTCTTGCTTGCTGAAGCCCGTCTCGCGCAGCCTGGTGACCCCCACAAGGGAGTTCTGCGTATCGACTTCGACAGTCACGGATCGATGTGACCAGAGAGATGCCGTCACGGGTCGAACCGGCAAACGAGTGCTAGACGTCAATCAAGAGGACAATCTTGTGCGTAATAGTTCAGACTAGGGCCGTGACGGCGTCGGAGTTGCAATTCAAGATATTGGTGATTTCTTTTTTCTCACCAGATCGCAGTGCCTCGAGTAATGGTACATGATGTGTGCCAGGCTCAGTTTGCCGAGCGTCACCTGGTATTCGTTTGAACTGTTGACAGAGGGCGATCCGTGCTGCAGGAACACAGGCGTGGACACTTGTCACCTGGTCCCAGATACCAGCGATTCACACTGTATGCAGGGTACTGGAAAGAGCGCTCAGCCAGCATGGAGCATTGGCATCACCCAATGTTGCAGTTTGGAGAGGGGACAGGGGAGTCGAAAAACAACCGAATGCGTAAACATTCATTTTCGATGCTCCGCGCGGAGTTGTTGGATCGGCGCTGGACCCCGGCCCCTGGCGCTCCGCGCGCCAGAGAGGGGGGCTCCAACGCAGATCCAAGACGTCCAGCGCGGAGCTCCAAAAGCTCACTTGGGGTGAAGAACGGCGTACCTCTCGTGCACCTTCGGGGCTCCAGCGCGGCGCCGCGGAGCTCCAAAAGTTTGTGTTTGTGCAGAGGTTTGTTCTCGCCAGGGGAGGGGAGGGGGAGCCGCGGCCGAGGAGCTGCGGAGACAGCTGGCCCAGGAGCGGGAGGAGAGGCGGCTGCTCCGCGACGACAAGCAGGACGTGGGAGGGCCGGGGACGCAGGACCGCACGCCCTGTCGACGAACGGCGGGGGCTGGGGTTGTTTTGGAGATTCGAGACTCAACCTCAACATAACGTAACAGAGCGTTTCGACGCTCTGCGCGAATTTCTTGGATCTGCGCTGGAGCGCCCTGGCTTCGCATAGCTCGGACGTGTGCTTTTTTCTTGGCAAAGGACCATCGAGGAGCATTGTGGGTCATTTTGCGAGGCAGTAAAACGCATAAGCAATGCATACAAGTCGTGCGGACACAACCTCGAACACGAGAACATGTCATAAACACGTTTCGACGCGCTGCGCGGATTCCTTGGATCTGTGCTGGAGCCCCCTGGCGGCGCCTAGGGTGCCGCCCCTGGCGCGCGGAGCGCACCAGCGAGGGGGGTCTGGCGCAGATCCAAGAAGTCAGCAAGGACCGTCGAAAGTACATGTTTATGCCATGTGTTGCCCCTCTACATCCACGCCCTCGCCACTCCCTCAGAAGCAGGTCCAAGACTGTCCGCCCGGACGAGCCTCGCCTGGTGCCCGGTTGGTGGCCGCCCATGGGCGCCTCTTGGGCGCCCTGCGCGCTGGGTGCACCACAGCTCGCACCTCATACGGCAGGTTCGCGTCGTGTCGACCGGGGGGCGACCCCAACGCGGGCATTTAAGACTGAACGCCACCTGTGGCCCAGAATCGGCCCATCCTTGAACGATCCGGCCTTCTTGAAAGGGCCGATCGCTCAAGTTTGAACCATCTCCGCTGTGTCAGGAACCAGCGCTGGGGTCGACACGACGCGAACCTGCCGTAGTTCGCGCCACAGATATTGGCATCACACAGCTTGCATCACAGTGACGCCCCAGATGGCCCCACGACGACCCCCAGAGGCCCCGACAGGCCAAAATCATTGGACTCCCCTTAGGACCCGACAGGGCCCCCAGGACGACCCACGAGGCCCCCAAGATCGCACCAGGACGGCCCAAGAGGCCCCCAAGGGGCCCCCAAGACGGTCAAATAAGACCCCACGAGGTCCCGAAGAGACCCCGAGACGGCTCAAGAGGGGCCCAAGACGGCCCAAGAGGACCCCAAGACGGCCCTATAAACCCCGCAAGGATCCCAAGAGGCCCGACTACGGTTCCAGAGTACCCCGAGTTTGCCCAAGAGGGCCTCCATACAGGCCAAAGGTTTTACCACAGCCCCAGCGGCCTCCAAGACGCTCCATGACGGCCCCATCACACACGACCTAGATGGATAGGACGCGAGTTTGTCGCTGTTGTGCTGTTCGCAACCATCCTGTGTTGTTGGATATATGCTTTCTATCCGCAGTCCTGCGCGTCTCCTGACCTTCTTCCTGCTCCCCCTTTCTGCTGTGCATCCACCTCTCCCTGCCTCTGCTTTCCGGCCGAATGTCAATTTCGTTACTCCCCACACGCGGATCGTGCTTCACGGGGCTCTCCACGTACGGCCTCAGTGGGGGGTAGTCGCATGGCGGCGCCACGCCCGTTTTGGCACAGATCGTGCCCCACAGGGAGCTCGACCCACGGCCTCAATGGGTGCAGTTGCATGGCGGCGGAGATCCGATCTCGGCACTTGAAACGCACCGTGCCTCACAGGCAGCTCCACATGCGCACATGCGGCCTCAGTGGATGCGTTCGCATGGCGTTGCCGCGCTCATTTCAGCAGACGCCTCAGACCGTGCGTTCGCATGGCGGCGCCGCCCTCATTTCGGCGCACCTCTCACGCGGATCGTACTTCACAGGAAGTCCCACCTACGGCCTCAGTGGGTGCGTTCGCATGGCGGCGGCGCCCCCCGACTTCGACACGCTCCTCGCGCAAATCGTGCCTCAGAGGGGTTTCCACCTGTGGCCTCAGTAAGGGCGTTCGCAAGGCGGCGCCACGCCCAATTCGGCACGCCTCTCACGCGGATCGAGCTCCACAGGGAGCTCCACATACGGCCTCGATGGGTGCGTTCGCCTGGCGGTGGCGTTCCCATGTCGGCACACCTCTCACGCGCATCGTGCCCGACATGGAGCTCCACTCGCGGCTTCAGCGGGTGCGTTCGCAAGGCGGCACCGCGCACACTTGCCCACCCTTCACGCGGCACGTACCCCACAGGCAGACTCGGTGGGTGCACGCGTGCGGTGTCTCCGCCCATTTCGGCACACCCCTCACGCCGGTCGTGCCCCACAGCGGGCTCCGCGCGCCTATGCGCGCTTGCTCCGCAGCGCGCAGTATATGACGAGAGAGCAAGGCCTTATGATACGCGCAGCTACATGGGATCGGGCCCATCGTCGGGCTGGTTTTCTAGCGCGAGCGAGTTCTCATCGGAAGCTGCCAATCGGTCAGGGTTATGTTTTCTGTGCTGCCACACGGCCCAGGGAACTGGGCAACGATTGTTTTGAGGTCAGTGCGTATGCGTCGTTAGGTTGGCCACTATTGCCAGGTGATCTCGCACTGCTTCAACTCTATGATGCCAGTGCGTGGATCCCAAACAGTATATTACTGCACTCCCAATGTGCAAGGTGTGTGTGTGGTACCATAGAGCACTATCCATAGCCAACCATAGCGCACGACAGGGCGCCATAGGACACACAGGGCACCACCAGGAGGACACTAACCATGGGACACTACAAGACACCAGCCATCGAGCACTCAGAGCGTCAACAGCTGACTGGGACACCCACTGCACCATGGGGCACCAACCACAGGACGCCATAGAGCACCAATCACAGGGCACCATAGGACACCAACCATGGGGCACCAATCGCGCCAACGGCCAACTGGGACACCCTGGGCCCAACGGGCACCATCGCGCGCCAACAGCCGACTGTGTCACTCAGGATTCTAGCCCCCTGTGTATGGACGTGCTCTTCGGTGCCATCGGATCCTCCGGTTCCTGCTGCGAAGCCTCTCGGGCGCGTCTGGGGAGCCTTCCGGCGCCTGTTCAGGAATCTTGGGGGCACCTTGTCGGGGGCGGAAAAGAGGGGGGTGATGACTAGGGGGGGGTGGATATCATGGCGGGGGCCATGATCTTTCCCCAGATTTCATGGCGCCTCTTCTGACTTCATTACGTCCCTGGCCCCCCCGCTGGGCCGCGCACATGCCGCCGGTCATGATTTGCACCCCCCCTCTTGGACACCCCCCTCTTGGCCGCTCCCGATCTTGGGGCCGCCGGCAGGTCTCCGAGGTCCTCCCGTGCCATCTCCGGGGCGTCTCACAGACGCCTTGTGGACGGCCGTGGCGCCGTGTCTCGGGGCCGAGACGAGAGGCGGGCGGCCACGCACGCACCGGGGAGGAGGTCCGCGGTTTGCGGCCCGGGCCTGCCGCGGGGGGGGGGGGGGCTCCCGGAGAGCAGCAAAGATTTGCACGAGCGAAATGGGTACGGAAAGAAGGGGTGCGATGCCGCTCCTCCTCCTCCTCCTCCTCCTCCTCCTCCTCCTCCTCCTCCTCCTCCTCCTCCTCCTCCCCGCCCCCCTCCCTCCACCCCTCCTCCACCTCTGCCCGTCCCCCCCCCGTGGCCACTTCCTGCCCCCCCCCACGCTCCCTCCCGCTCCCCCTCCTCCGCTTCCGTGGCCTCCTCCCCGCTCACTTTCACTTCGCGGTGGCCCTTCACCTCACCGCTACGGTAAGAATGCAGCGGATCTTGCTCATCTTGAACAGGGCTCGCTGTCCACGCCGCTGCGGCCTGTGTCCATTCGAGACAGAAGGCCGCCTGCCCAGCAGCGGCCGCTGTTGGTTTGGGACAACATTTGTTGTTGGGCATTGCGCCCATTCTTTCCGTACCCACTTCGGGCGTCCAAAGCAGAGCCCCGACCAGACAGCCAGCTGACAGGCAGGCATCCCAATGTCCCCCACTGCGCCGAATCGGTGCAGCAGCCATCGTGTTGTGAAGTTGTCTTTGGTGCCCTCTTCGAGGGGGTCTCTCTGGGCCCGCGATTGCTCACCGCGGACCTTTCGTCGTTCGGCAGGTGCACCGTCGTTTCACGGTGGACGGGCAGTCGAGGCACTGCAAGGACCACTGGACTCAGGAGGGCCTCTGATTCTCAAGTTGTCCCGGTTGCTCCTCAGGTACAGGTCGGAGGACTTGTTGGCCCATTCGTCATGTCAGATCAGGTCCGGGGGCATGCGCACGCAGCCGTTTTGGCACACTTTGCCACGGCCATCCGCCGCCCGCCTTTTCCACAGCTTGCGCGCGCGCCAGCGCCGATGGCCGCTGCGCCACCTGCCTGCATCTGCCCATAGAACCATACCTCTCGGTGGTTGAAAGGCGGGGTGGAGCTGGGCCGGGGGGGGGGGGGCAAGCCTCCCGTCAGCACCAGTCATTCTCGTGCGCTGATCTGTTCTGGGTGCTCGGACCCCTCGAGTCTCCTGCGCAGCTGTGTCCTGGAGCTCGGAGCCCTCTTCTCCTCCGTTGTCGTTCGTTCCTTCGCTCGTCGCCCTTCTGGGCCCCCCGACCTCTGTCTCCTCATGGTGGGAAAGAGCGTGTTCTACCGCTGCTGGCGGAAAACCGGGGGGGGTCACTACCGGTTCGAACCCCTCCCCCCCCCCTCCGGAAAACCGGGGGGGGTCACTACCGGTTCGAACCCCTCCCCCCCCCCCCCCCAGCTCATCATGAAAAGGGGGGGGGGTCACTACCGGTTCGAACCCCCCCCCCCCCCTCGAAAACCGAGTGGGGGTGCGGACAGTGGTGGGGACGGTGTTGGTGGGGACAGTGGTGAGGGGACAGCGGGACAGTGGTGGGGACAGCGGGGGGACAGTGGGACAGTGGTGGGGACGGTAGTGGTGGGGACAGTGGTGGGGACAATGGTGGGAACAGGGGGGACAGTGGACAGTGGTGGGAACGGTGGTGGTGGGGACAGTGGTGTGGGGACAGTGGGAATGAGGTGGAAACACTGGGACAGTGGAGGGTACAATGGTGGTGGAGACACTGGTAAAGGCGGTGGCGAGGACGGCGGTGGGACAATGGGACAGAGGTACAGTGGGGACAGTGGTGGGGACAGTGGGGACAGTGGTGGAAACAGTGGGACAG